TGCCCAGATGCTATGGAACTCTACAAAGCCTGTGTGGCCGCTGACCAGGATGCCAAGTTGAATCCCTACTTCTGTCTCTTCTTTCGCCATCAAGACAGCGTGCTTATGGTCTACCTTTGTAGAATTATCATTTCCAATTGCAAGGACCGCGAACTGGGTAGGCACTCCCGTTCCGTTTCTTCGGATTGCTAATCTTTTTTCCTCTACCAGCGGGCGGTGTAAGAGGACGCGCATCGATCAGTTTTGTGACTCACTCAACAAGCCCAAATCTTTCTGCGCGTTCACTTCTTGCACTTGGATGCCATTCAGGCAGTAGACCATTGGATTTTGAGAACTGGGTCGGCCAACTCGTAGGATACTGCACTTAGTTCAGTATAGTTCAGTATATTTAGTGTAGTAGGCAATACCTTTAAGGACCCTATTGAAAACAGCATACATAAAATATCCAATATAAAATATGTTACTATAAAATAGTGAGTAACATATATACATGTACATATTTTCGCTGCAGGTAACGTCAGTGTGCCCGTGAGAGCACTCAGTCGTTTCTTGTTCTCATTAAATGAAAAAAGGAAGTTTTTAGACCAAGTTTGATGACGGTTTAGGTTTACCTGTAAACGCTCTTCGTCAGCTGCATTTCTGATGACGTTCCGAATCTTAATATAATCGGCAAGCATAGCCACGTCACAATCCAGTTCACGGACCGCAACTTCTGCCGACTGCTTGTCACCGATGTGGACAGGCTGAGAGCGGCCAAGTAGGATGCTTCGAATCCACCTCAGCAGATTTCCCCTAACACCTATTCGACTGAGTTTGGGTAGGCGTCGTTGATGTGGGACATTATGGAATGCCTTCTAGAAGTCAATATAGACTACATGAAGCGGATTTCCGCCCTCAACTGCCTGGGTCCAACGTTCCAAACAACAGAGCATATTCGTCACTCAGGACATGGCTCTACCGAATCCATGATGCGCATTTGATAGTAGGTTATGCTGCTTTAGGATACACATCAGCTCTCGCTTTACTACTTTCTCCATAATTTTGCAACAGATCGAAGTAAGGCTGATTGGGCTATAATTGTTTGCGAAAGCCTTTCTACCGCCTTTATAAAATGGTGTGATCTGTGCAGATTTCCAATCGGCGGGTAAACAACCAGCTTCAAACGAGGTATTGAAAAGCATAGAAAGTGATTTAGCTACTTCCCTAGCAAGTTCTTTCATTAATTTGAGTGGAATATTATCGGAACCTGACGATTTCGATTCATTTAGCGCCAACAACTTTTGACGAACAGTCCCTTCGGCGAAAGATACAGGATCAATCTTTGGACCCTCATCTCAGCCATGGTTAGGAGGAATGAATTCGCTTTTAATCGTAAAAATCGATTTTAAAACATAATGAAAGATGCTGGGCTTTTGCCCCATCCTCCCTAATTTTTAGTTTTTCGCTTGTCTTCACTAAAGGGACTGGGTGCTGGTTTCTTGTGGCCCTCTGTAAGTAGCTAT